AAACAAGAAAATGACGAAAGAAACAAGAAAATCGATTCGAAACATCATCGAATTTCAAATAGAACGAGCCAAATAAAGGGTGAAATCGATGGGGGACGCGAGATCTAGCAGAGCGTTAAACAAAGAGAACAGAGAGTGTACAACAGTAAAAGCTACGAACAGATCCGATCAAGAAACGTCAGATTCAGCACAGCTAAGGACTAATTCGATTAAAACAAATGAGAAGAGCAAACAAGTTACCCGGAGAGTGAAATCCATTGTAGAGACCGAGCAAAAACACAAGAGGCACAAGCATTGAGAGGATAACGAGGCCAAGAACTCCGATCACGAGTCCTCTCCATCGTCTTTTCGCCGGAAATCCATAAGCAGAACCCCCGCTCCCTACACCGCCGCCGCCCTTCATCTCCGCCACACTATCCTCTCTCCACTATTGATCGATAATGTATAATCTTCCTCTTCCCAAATCCCTCCCCCCTCCACCTTCTGCGATTATCCTATTCTTATCGAATTGATTACGAGGGCAGGGAAAAGAATCTCCGCTAGAGTTCAAGCAGAGTTGTGATTTATACAGATCAGGAAACAAGAACTATACATCAAAATTCTATGATATACGACACTTCTCTCCAGTAATCCCGAAGAATTAACCGTTCTTGTCGTTGAACTTAGAAATCCCAATGGTTTTCGTTTTCATCTCTCCCGTTTCATCGCTCACTGCAACGGATCAGATACGAATTCCTCGAAGTGCGTTCGGAGGGATTTGGTGCGTGAAAGTACGAGCAGTGGCGAGTGGGAAGAACATGAACCTGTGATGGATTTGGTGTTTTTCTTTTCTTTTTAATTTATGGTTAAATTATTATTATTTTTTTAAATTTTTGTTTATTTTTCCTAAATTTAATTATATAAATGGATTGTTAAACCTAATAAAGTGATACATTATTTATTAATCATAGATTATTAAAGGGTTAAAGGGTCAATTAAAGAAAACTAATAAATGTAATTATGATATTATAATCTAATAAACGAAATTAAAGATATTAGAAAATTATATTATTTATATCTAATAATTACAGATACTCTTCATTAATAATCGTATCTAAGTATGCAAAAAGCATTAAAATTCTTTACTTTTTATTTATTATTTTTAAACTAAATTAATAAAAATATTGTTACTATAAAAACACATTTAAACTTTTTAAAAAATAATAATAAAATAAAAATTACTTAGATTTTATTTTAAAAATACTCTTAAATTTTTAGCTTTAGATTCAGAAACCAAACCACAACCACAGTCTCGAGAGGCTAACCGCTCAAGCCTCAGGTTTGGAGCCATATTTGGAGCAATCAACCCACGAACCCTTTGACCCACTCTAGTTCAACTTCACTCACACAATTTGTGGTGCCACCTCGACTCCCCAAGTCGACCATGCAGAATGTGTTCAACGGCCTCAATTGTGGTTGGCTGGCATCCCTCGACTCACTTGTTCGCGTGCAACTCTAAGTCGTTCTCGATATCATTTTACTATTTTGGACCGTTCTAAAGCCATTGTTGACATAATTGAACGCATTGTACACCATAATATTGTGCACGCTCTTTTCCCTCTGTGATTTTCATCAACATGAGTGTACGCTAGCTGAAAGGCAGACCCATGAGATAAGTATACGAGCTCATTTAGTGGTTCGATGAGCGCGTGTGTGGGTCGTGAGTAGCGTGTGCACGAGAAATACTACACATCCAATTTCACTTAGACTGGAAAGTAGAGATCAAGGCCATGATTGTCTGTGATTGCATTTCCTAACCTACGTAGAGAACAATTCATCAGAGCTGAGTACAATGAACCTACTCAAAAGCCGATGTCGAGTGGATCTGTTTCAATAAGCCGATGTGAAAGGTAATTTCGAGCAATACACTACTCACGTCCTCGTGACTTACGAAAACGTGTTAGCACGTGAGTTGATCTATAGTTAATCCGTTCATGTTCGAAAAAAAAAAATCTTAAGGGATAAATCCATAATTTAAACAAAAATTTTAATTAAAATTCACTCACTAAAGTAATTTATTTTCATGGTTTGGATTGTGAAAGATTGTTGGAATTTTAAAATATTGAAAAACCAACCAATTTCAATAAATATACAAATAAAACAATCAAAACCAAACCGGTTGCGCAGCCGCAGTTGAGCATTTTTGACCGTTACATACGGNTGGTCGGCACATATATATATATATATATATATATATATATATATATATATATATATATATATTTATTTTTATTTTATTATTATTATTTTTTTTTTTTTTTTAATGATAATTTTTGGCTCTTATTTTACGTCTTTTTTTCAATATTATCGATGAATATGGATGTATACGGGTTGGATTAAAAAAAATTCGACCAACTCGAATTTCGAGTTAATTGAATTAGTGACCCGAATGATCCGAATAGTGTTTATAACCCACTGTTGTCCCGTGGGATAAATTTGGGTCGTTGAATTCTTCATTTTTTTTTTAATTATTTATAAAAATAACTTACTTATCAACAATAAATATTATTTTAATAACTAAAATTTTATAAAAAATATTCATAAATTATGCATCATTAATATCCGTTACAAATATCATATATTCTTCAGTTTGGTATTAGACCAACACGAGTTTTTGTAGCATATTTTTTCCTCACTTATATTCATCTCAAAAAAAATTCTAAGAAGTCACCAAATGTAAGATCAGTTGGAGAGGAGAACAAAACATTTCTGAGAAGGGTGTGAAAACCTCTCTCTAACATACATGTTTTAAAATAGTGAAGTTGACAGACTATATGTAACGAGCCAAAGTGATATGGAGAATCAACCCAAGGGAAAATATGGAACGGATTATCTTGATGATCAAGATCAAGAGTAAAGAAAACTCGTTTCTAAACTCGTGATTCGAATCACTCCACAAGAGGTTTGATCAATACCACTTGAATGACTTTACATGTAAGTTCTAAACACAAGAATTTGCCAAGAAAATTTAGCTCTAAAATAGAAATTCTATTATTAATTTCAAAATCGGATGTTTAATCAAATAAAAAAAGGTTTTATATAGCCCTTACAACCTTAACGTATGTGATATATAACTCCCAAATTAAATGGGCTAGTAAATAAAAAAATAACCATAACCTCCGTATTAAAATGGTAGTTAATGGTGGAATATAGTAACGTAGGTGGGTTACAATATAACCTTAACTTTTATATTTAAAACTATAATTAAATAATGCAATTAATAAAAATGCGTTTATGACTCATCCTTCAACTAGTTTCATAAATTCAGCGGAGTTCATTAAATGCAACTTAAAGTGCATTTAATTCATCTCTTTTTTGAAGCTCAACTTTGCACAACATATAAGGGAGGTCTCCAACGTCTTAGAATTTCTTTTGATAAGCTCACCATAGTTTCGAATATAACTATATAAGGTTTGTTGTAGCTTCTTAGCAATCGTCCTTGTAATTGAACCTTGAGGTATGGAAATTCCTTGGTCGTGGTTCATATCACAAAGTGAACAATATCTACTAGCGGTGGGTTTGACTGTTACAAATGGTATTAGAGCCAGACAACAAGTGGTGTAGCAGCGAGGATATTGAGCTCCAAAGAGGAGTGGATTGTGAGATCCCACATCGGTTGGAAAGGGAAACAAATTGTTCCTTATAAATGTGTGAAAATTTTTCCCTAGCATACGCGTTTTAAAACCGTAAGGCTAACGGCGAAACGTAACAGGTCAAAGTGGACGATATTTGTTAGCGGTGGACTTAAGCTATTACACCAAACATAGAATTGCTTCAAATAAAACATTTGAACTATAAAGTTACTAGGATTGAGTAAAAAAAAACAACATTTGAACCTTTCTGAGTCATTTCATTTGGACGTGGTCCTAATTCATTCAAGTACTCGTTCTTTACTCGAGTGTCACATCAACCTTAATAAATACTGAAACCACCCCCATTTTTTTAAAAGTGAAATAATAAATTATTTATGTGTTCTTAGACAAAGATCCTTTCCGTTGACATTTTGGGAAGACAAACTTTAAACAAAAACAATTAAATTATTGCCAATCTTATCCACTCTCCGCCGCCGCCGCCGCCGCCATTGCCCCATTCAAAAAACATGTGCTGAAGTCCAGCTGAAAAAGAAAAGGAAACCAATGAAATTTACACGTCAATATTTTAATTATATATAAATTAGGTGAATAATATTTTTATCCATATTTTAACGACCAGACTCAAAAACTTAAAAGTATTAATAAAATGAAATAGCTCCGTTTTTTTATTAAAAAAAAACTCAACGAACCCATCTTTACGAGAGGCATTTTTGAATGATTTAGTTATGTCTCGAGTAAGTCTGTTGAAATATTCAGATCAATCGAATAATTAAGCTTCTGGTTATTCTATGAATTCACGTAATAAGATCTCACTAAACAAGTTTCTGGGTTATTGAAAATCAGGAGAGCCTATTTAAGGTCTCGAGAAGGCTTCCTCACCACTTTCATGGAGGGTTGACGCTTTCGACTTCTTGACTCAAACCAGACCTACTTGAGCTAATGAAGGTTTCGTTACTTATTGTCGACTTATTAAATACAAAATTAAAAACTTGTTCATTATTATCGACTTATTAAATACTTTTAGGATTAGATACTTTACTATCGGACTCAAATATGAAAGTAATTCAAGGATTAATCAATTTGTAATTTAACCTATAATTTTTTACTTTTTTTACGTAGCGTAATTAGATCGAATAATTTTACGGGCACGGAAAACAATTAATTATATGTAATACAACACGTGATTTGTCACGTGTATATCATGGTTTATTTTGACCAAACCATAGGTGGTTTTGTTTGGCCATGTGGATAATATCCAAGTTTTCTCTCCTCACTCTCTCATATCTTTGTTTTTCCAAGTTTGACTTTATCTCTCATTTGACCAAAAAAAGTATATAAATTAACAACCACGATCCTCTCCTCTCCGACGGCCTCAACTTACAACTTCCCAACTCTCTCTCTCTCTCTCTCATGGCAGAATTAGATCAAGAACTTGATCCTCCTCCCTTCTTTCTTTGCCCCATCTCTCTCCAAATCATGAAAGACCCCGTCACGGTCGCTTCCGGCATAACCTACGACCGCGAAAGCATTGAGAGATGGTTGTTTTCAGATAGACACAAGACGTGCCCTGTCACGCAGGTTGTCTTGTCGAGCTTCGACATCACTCCCAACCATACTATAAGACGAGTCATTCAAGCTTGGTGCACTATCAATGCTTGCAAGGGCATTGAGAGGATTCCGACGCCTAAGCCACCGATTGATTGTAAGCAAGTGGTTCGAATTCTTGCAGATGCCAAATTGTCTCCGTTCTCGCAACAGAATTGTCTCCGACGACTCCGATCTATTGCAGCCGCAAGTGAATCTAATAAACGTTGCATGGAAGCAGCTGGAGCTGTGGAGTTCTTGGCCGGAATTGTGTGTAATTCCACCAACGTGGAATTCAGCTTAGAAGGTATTATTATTATACTAAATTCAAAAGGTTAAAAAGTTTTTATTTTATTTTTATATATAATTATTTGAATTTTCTTTTTTATTTTGAATATTAAGCTTATTAATAATTAATTTTTTAAAATGTTAGGTCTTTTTTTCAAAAATTGGATTTGTTTTTAATTTTAAAAAAAAATATAATTTTTTTAATTTAATATTAAAAATTTCTTACACGCTATCTAATTAATTTTTTATTTTAATAAGTAGATGGTTTAACATTTTTAAACCGAATTATTAAATTTTTTTAGACATAAAAATTAATTTTATATTTAATAAATTAATTAATTTTTAAAATTTTTGAATATGTCAATAATTTATTAAATAAATAAATGAAAAGTTTAAAAATCTATTAAATTAATATAATTTAAAACTAATTATAAGAAATATTTTAAATTTTGTGTGCGTTTCAAAAATACATTTTTAATTTTAAAATTTGAAACGTTTTCTTACGTTTTTTTTAGGGTTCCAAAAATTTCGAGCTTAAATCATTTAAATTTTAAGCTAAAATTGAAATCTAAACGATTTACGAGTCTAAATCGTTTAGAATTTTAGATCAAAACTGAAATTTAAACGATTTAGGAGCGATTTCGAACGAAAATTTCAATTTCAATCCTAGAAGTCTTATTCTAAATTTGTAATTTGTGTAGTAAGAGTTGAGAATCTAATATTTGATGAACATTGTTGAGCAGATTACGCTTACTTGATTGACGACCAGTTCGCGAATTTGGGCGATGAGGCTTTGAGCATTCTTTACAAACTTCAAATCTCCGAATCCGGCCTGAAATTTCTACTCGCCAACAATGGCGGCATCTTCGTCTCAACCTTAACCAAAATCTTGCAAAACGGAACCTATGGCTCCCGAGCATATTCAGTAATGCTTCTAACTTCGATGTTCGAAGTTGCAGATCAGATTCAGATCCTCAGCCTAAACACCGATTTCTTCATCGAAATCGTCCAAATTCTGAAGGATCAGATCTCGAAACAGGCTTCGAAATCGGCATTGAAACTGCTAATCGGTCTTTGTTCGAGTTCCAGAAACAGAGTTAAGGCGGTCCAAGCAGGTGCGATTCCGGTTCTGATCGATCTCCTCCTCGATCTCGATTCGTCAGAGAAGCGTTCGTGCGAGATGATTCTCGTGACGCTCGATCTACTCTGCCGCTGCGCCGACGGCAGGGCGGAGGTACTGAATCACGCGGCAGGGATCGCTGTTGTATCGAAGAAGATTCTGAGAGTTTCGACTCTCGGAAGCGAGAAGGCCGTCGGAATCTTGTGCTCTATCGCGAGATTCTCGGCGAGCGAAAGCGTCGTCCAGGAAATGATGCGGCTCGGAGTTGTGACGAAGCTCTGTTTTCTGCTTCAAGTCGTCGGCGCCGGAGGCAAAGCGAAGGAGAAAGCGAAAGAGATTCTGAAGCTTCATGGTCGGACATGGCGGAATTCTTCATGTCTGCCTTCGAGTCTGCGATCTTCTTTTCCACATTAGGGTTTGTTTTTGCCCCCAAAACTTTCTTTATTTCAATTGATTGAAATTGGTTTGTATATTAAAAAAATTGGTACATATTCATTCTTGTGTAAATCATTTGTTAATTATAATATTAATTAATGTATTATTTATTTATGGAATTAATTAATAAAAATAACCCTAAATTTTATAAAATACGTTAAAATAATATATTTTAAACTTTAAAAAAATTAGAATGGTTAATATTTTATTTTAAAAATACCTTATCTTTAGACTTTATACATATTTTATTTTAATAATTAATCTTTCTTTCGAAACTAAAGCCAGTAATTGAATCAATGTAACCAAGGATGATTTAATTTTTAAGAGTAAAAAGACGATTTCAGACCTTATACATATTTAAAGTTTCGGGAATTTGGTATGTTTTTTTTATGACGGTGGAGGGTAAATAAGTGTTAAAAAGAATCATACGCTTTTATAAATTAAAGCATAAATATCTAATGAAAAAATAAATGTTGTCTCCAAAATTATAAATTTATTGAAGTTTTAAGTCACGACCAATAACTTTCAACATAGCTATAGATGATTTTAACTCTAATTTCGAAATAAAAAAACTCATAGCACATTACCTACGGGCGTAAAATCGTACATGAGAGTTCATAATTCTTCCCCAACTCAGTAAATCGATATTCAATCTCATTCTATTTGCAAAACCTTCCTGTTCATCTTGTTTTAATATTTGAAAGCTTAAGCTGTTTGAGCCAAATCTCATACAGAGTTTCCAACTGTTCGACAAATAACCATTACTTTTCAGCATAGTTGTACGGATTGTTTAAATTCGATAATTTTGACTTTAATTTCGAAATAAAAGAACTCATAACACTATATGCACATGCATAATATCGTACATGAGAGTTCATATTTCTTCCCTAACTCAGTAAATCGATATTCTATCTCATTCTATTTACAAAACATTCCTGGTTAATCTCGTTTTAATATCTGAAAAATAATTTGTCAAAGCTAATAGCTAGAGTCGTTGAGCCAAATCTCATCCAGAGTTCAAAACATTAGAAACTGAGAGGCAAAAGGATCAGCTATTACTCAACAAAAGTGCAGCCAAACTACAATATAGAATTGTACCTTTCCAATGAGAGCTACACAATAAATACACATGAAGCTAGTTGATTTCTTCAATGCACAATGCCTCCAACTTACTATTTGCATCAGCTAAGACTAAGATTTTACAAAGAAACAAAAGGGGAGGCTAAGCCAGAAACCTCCACAAAATAATGCTTCTAACCCATGCGCTAGCAATTGTAGGTTAAAGGATGATAATTCATAATACAATTACAAAACCATTCAAGTTCAAGCCGAGGGCTGGAAGCTTGTACCTGTTGTGCCAGGGTTATCCCCCACCAAGGATAGCCTCCTTTTCGCCACTTTCGACCTATAACACCACACTTCGAATGCCTCGGTTAGATCAGGATAACGGATAACATGTTGATTCTGTAACCATTCGGTTATAATCTCTGCTTGCTCCCCTGATGGCAATGCAAGGATGATCGAAACAAATGCCGATTCTAGCAACTCCCAAACGTCACTGTCGATCTTGAGTTTCGGATCATCAACGCCATTGTTAGCAAGACTATCTATCAAGGATTTGGTTGTTCTTACGAAAGGAAGCCAAACCTTAACCATGTGAAGCCGTTTTGAAGTTGGGAGGATCACTGAGCCGTGTTTAATTGCCTCTAAAACCTTTGCTAACACTTCAATAATCCCTACCCTTGTGTCAATAATTTCTGATGCTACACTCTCTTGCTCAACAACATTGACTATCTTATTCGATGCATCAATCCAATTAGAGACAAACTCCTTCATAGTTTCTAACCTTTTTAGAATACGGCACATCCAAGCTAAATCTGTCAAACAAAAAACTAAAACTTGCATGTTCCTTTCCTTCCCATCCGAGTGTACAGGATCAAGTACTATTTCTATTAGACTGTTGAAAGTTTTTAATAGGCTCTTCACACATTCGTTTACCTCTAATTTTATTTGAGCATCAGCCATCAATAGTGGTGCATCATCATCTTCAACTAGCATGTACTCGAGCTGTTCCTGGGCCGAAGGCTTGAGATCGTTTATGTTAGAAAAGGGGGATAATGTAGCCACTCGAAGAGCCGAAAGAAATATCTGTCTGACAAGAGATGAATTGACTGGTTGAAGACGAGCAAGAATTGGCTCAACTTCTGATCCCATGTGAGGTATCACCTTCAAAATTTCCTCCTCTTCATCCTCCTCCCATGGTACCGCTTCCAAGTAATTCACGCAAGCACTAATAATATTTTTGCACTCAAGATCAAAAGCCACACGGAGGATGCCAAGAACAGTTCGAACATCATTCCATAAGTCATCTGTTGGGATATCCGTAATGACATAGAGAAGGCGCAGAAGATTTACGTGGTAATCAAAGGTTGCTTCTAGACAGAAGACCTCAACACAGTTTCGCGAGTCAAGAATCTGACATGTTGGCCATTTCTCAGAAAGTCGATCAGCAAAATACTTGCTCTGTTCGGTTAGGATATGGGAGTGGCAATATAACCATTCATCTCGACCATCTTTTGTTCTAAGCCGCACAACAACGTCACTGGTCGATCGGTCACCAACCTGGCAGCATGATCCAGCTTTATTACTCTGCAGGGGAGAGGAGTTATAGCAAGAGAATGTGCAATATTAAACTAAAAATTCTATCTTAGAAGCTAGACTACAATGAATCGTTTAAAGAAATGTGAATCAACACAGCTGCAGAAAAAGGGGAAGTTGAGTGGGGAAGACAAGTATCATATGGCGTTCAATCATATAAATGAAGTGAAGAATTGAAGATAAGAGCTTGAGTATAACAATTAACTGCTGCGAATATACAACTTACAGAGTCGTCCATCAAAGCATTATATGCTAATGAGCATTCATTTTATGCATCCTTCAGTGTTTGGTTTAACAAGGGCCTACATTTAACAGAAAGACAAAAATTGCGGTCATTCAAAACACAAATTAAAAATACATTCACAAAGTTGGAAAAGTTTTATTTTATACACAGCACGATAGGAGCAATGAAGAAAAAAGAGAAACCATAGAACAAAAGGCCATATGATTTCTTTTCCGGGAGGTTAGGATGCCTATGAATCTAATCAGTTCATGGCTAGAATCAGTTTTGTTGAAGAAAATTGAAATTTCCATGGCAGAAAAAAGTTCAGTAGATGTAGTAGGATAAAATATATAAACAAAAATAATTGACAACAATCATTTTCCAGTACTTTTTCATTAAAAAAACAAACCCTTTATTGATATTTGAAAAGTTCTAAATTAAAGACTCCATTACGTATGAATATATAAGTCCCCCAAAGCAATAAGAGCAGCATCTAAAGCTTAAACACAGTCTGAATAATAATTACAAGCAAATTCTCCAACAAGATATTATCTCATAAAATGAGCAATTGCTAAATCTTTGGAAAGAGCAGTCGAAGAAGCCACATGGAACTTTGTCACTAGATATTAGGTAACTAGACACAAATTTAAATAAGTATCTAGACACTCATAACAATAAATCTAAATTAATTCCTAGATTCTAGGTAACTAAATTTAAATAATAATCTTTTGTAACTAAATCTAAATAAATCTAGATAAATTAATGAGGTCAACTACTTCCCTCATTTAATGGGATTACACAAGTATCCTTTGACACTCCCCTCAAGCTGAGAATGAATTACAAAAATATCTCCTAACTTAAGGCTAATAATTTGACAATTCCTTTTAAACCAAATACCCAAATCTACGTATTTGACAATGTTGATCCATAAAAACTTTTTTCCTCTAGGAGTGCAAGGAGAAACTGAAAAAAACAACTGAAACTGCTGTCTGTTCAGGTTTAGACCAGTTTTGTTTCGCAATTTCGGTTTATATAATAAAAAATGGTTATACTTGGTAGGGTTCAGGTCAGGCAAAGTCACACCGGTTATAAGCCGACCAACAATAACATATATATTAAGAATCGTAAGTTTGTCAATTAAAAAGCCCGTGGGTCAACGTTAATACCTATTTGGAATGTGCAAGGTCTTGAGTTTAAGCCTAGTTAGGATGTCATAAATGCTTTTTTTTTTTTTTTTTTTTTTTTTTTTTTTTTTTTTTTTTTTTTTTTTTTTTTTTTTTTTTTTTTTTTTTTTTTGCATTATTAAACAGACACATAATGCAATCCCCAAGCCTAAGCCCAACAACTCTAACAGGAAGCCTACTGACTAACTCCCAACGATCCAAGCCACGAAGTGTATCCTGCACGCTGGGAATCAACAAAGCGACAAACCATCATACCAAACTGATAAATTTTCAGTTAATCGATTTGGGACAGCTTGGTTATGCAACAAGGGTGGTTTGGCTCAGTTTTTTCATCTTCTTTATATTTTTTTTGGCCCTCAAACTGAGCCAAACCAAACACCCTACACCCCTATTTTCCTCTCAACTCGCGACCACAAAGTAAATTGAAGATATTATTTTTAACCCTGAAATTACAAACCCAAGAGCATTCAAAGATCTGAAACAATGGGTTCAGGGGTTAGAATTTAGGGTCAAGGGTTTATGCAAGTTTCTTTCTTCATCATAGTTAACCAAAGTGCAGAGCCCTACATTAAAGAAAAGCTGGCTGTATGCATCAGAAAAGAAAGCCCAACAGTCTAAAACCCTTAAAAGGAATTAATAAAAGAAAAATGAGTCCAGCTTCTTCATGATTTCGTGCTACGGTAAAAAACAAAAGGGCCATCTCAAGAGAAGGAGAAGGAAGGACCTGCAACGATAGAGACTACTGACCCTTTCTTGTTCCTAGCCGTCTGCTACGAACGTTCTACTTATGATCGTCATGAATTGAATTAGAATGCAATTTCAGCCAAAAAAAAAAAAAAAAAAAAAACTGTGAAAAAGATCTCAAAAGAAAGAAGAGTATTCCTGTCCCTGATTCTTACTTCACAAGGTAAAAGAAAAATCGAAAGGTAAGATGAAGAAATGAGGTATACTTCACTAGTGTATACAAGGGGAGAATAGAAGGAAGGATA